GTCTATTGAATGCAGGGATTTGTGTAAAGTCATTCAGACAGCATACAATGCCAACTAAAAAATTATACTCAGTGTCTCCGCAAAGTAATATAGTACGGTACTTAGAGTACATGTGAGATTATACTCAGATTAGGGAGATGTTTTATCCGTATAACGTGTTATTATTCTACCTAACAATGTATTTAATGAAATGAATGCAAAACAAACTCAACGGCTAAAAGGTTTCATTGAAAAAACTACCCGTAGTCTTGACTAATAAAACAACTGCAACCCGACACAGATTAAACGCACTTACAAACACAATCATAATCTTGTTAGTCTGTATCACTCAACGAGGCCGCTTACTTTGCCCACAGTATGAAAGTATTGGGCAGTTCAGTAATTAGGAGCCAAAACCAGGCAGGTACGCTGGTCACACTTGACTGGTCTGACTGATGATTAGGTCGTCTGACAATTGTGAGTGAAACTATTTGCTCCTTTTATGGGACCGGTTAGTTTTATGACCATGGGCCTCGGCACAAGCGTGGTGTTGGAAGACAAGTTATACATGTACATCCGATATGGTGACTGTTTTTCGCTATTCATATTCTAAATACATTCATAATACCACAACATTTTAGTACTCCTTGAAACTTTACAATCACTTCAATATGTACAATAGATTGAACGAGAACACTTGATATATTGCAGATTATTAAATCATTGTCTCTATTATCAGCCGCTACGTTTGTATCGTTTGCATTGTACAAAGAAATATTTTATCTGTCCTTTTGCAGATTTAGCCTCAGAATGTGCTCATTCGAATTAGGAACGAAAATAATTGCTTATCATGAGTATATATGATACAGTTAAAAGTTACTTGTACACTGTAGACGTATTCACTTTAAAGTCGCATACGACCTTCGCGAGCGAGTTGAATGATCCAGGTTAATTGGAACGAAGTCTAGAGAGGGTTATACAGTTTTGTATTTGGTAATGTGTAGGTTTGTTAAATATCATTTTTTTCATTCCTTTTATTTCAATATGTAAAAACATAACTATGCGCTTAAAAACAGAGCTGACTTGATGGGAGATAGCCACCTCAGATTGTCTGTTGGACACGGTTTAACCTTACTGTGTCCTCACCCTGGTTGTTGTTACCGTTGTTATAAGGGATTAAGAGCTACGGCTCATTGCATTTTTGGTTACAGTCTGTATCACTAAAGTGGACATGTGCAGGTTAACTCTGTTCAATTAGTATATGAAATGCCCCAAAATGTGAACTCCAGACAATAATAACCTGAGGGTAAATCCACGTGCGTCTGCCTTTCCCCTCGTTCACCTTCGAAATCCTTGATTATTATATCATGCCAGAGTTCTGAAATTCAGTGACAATGTTGCTGAACAATAGAATCTGATGGACGTTTTGTGCAGAACCTGTTTGACACTATGGGTTCCAGGACCACTAACACTCTGAGCTGAAAAAGTTTGGTCCTAACCGCACCCAACATCTACAAGTAATTAACAGTCCCATGCTGAGACCTTTCTCAAAATTCAGACCGGTGGCAGGTTGCCAACAAAGAGAAGAAAATATCGCAACCCCGACACGAGTGTGCTCAGTCAAACAATGAACTTACGACCGGCAGAAAACAACTCCAGTTGAGTATGCCGATGCTGTATCTCAGCCGTGTTGGCCTGAAAATTTAAACATGCTAATTAAATCCAAAATCGTATAATTATTTTTAATAGAAACCGTATCTTAATTTGTTCTTTCACTGCATCATATCGTGTATTTCATCTGTATATGTGTAATGTGTATATGTATCAATGACTACACTTATACCGCATATTCTGCAACAGACTATAATTAATCACCTTATTATTGTCTCTCCATTTACCATGGCTGACTGCACTAATACCCTTTTAACAGTGGACACCGATATCAGTATACATGTAGGCTTTTTGTTCAAAAAGGAATATGCAGGAAATTATATGTAACAATTAACTGTGTACTAATTACATGTTTGAATGTTATCAGTTTTACGTTCTGAGATACAGTGATGTAAGCATCTTCTAAAATCTTCTAAAAATATAATAAAATACAAAACTCTCTGCCGTAATTTTTTGTGGAAATCATTCGATCAAGTAAAAAATGACTGCGTGACAAGACGAATCAACTATTTATACCCGATAAAAGAAACTGCCGTATTTTAGGAACAGTGCTATAACAAGATATTTGAAATTTCTAACAAGCAGATACATTAGAGACAGTGACTAGACTACAGGTACGTAATCCGTATCAATCAAAGGTGTAAAAAAACTGAAAATCATATCTGTCGGAGACCTACCAAATTACCAAGTTTTATCATTACTATATTTATTACAATGCAAATACTTTAGTGATACATTTTTTAGAGGAGAGGGCATACACACAAGTATATTGCTTCCGTGTGTGAATGCAGGTCGTACTTGGTATCTCAGTTCTCAGTTTCATACCGGTTGTATAACTGAATTTGTATATGGAACCATGCGTACAGCATGACAATTACTTGCTATTCGTCAGTTTACAACACACATAACACGGTCAAAAATTTTAGGCACCGCTTTTGCGAGTTATGTAGTACAGTAATGTTTTATTAAAATCTATTTCAATTTGTTTTCACCATTTTCCCTATTGACAGTCGTTGTTACGTGCGTCACTAGGTAATTAGTACGGATTGACCTTGTTTATTGTTTCTATACTTTGAGGATTTCTGTGACAACTGGCGGACGTAATTCAAACTCCTTCCGCACTGACACCGCATCAAATATATTTGTGTACCGATTACGTAACTCTAATGGACAGGGTGGGGTGGTAGTTCACCGGACGACACTGTGTATATTGGGCGGCTCCTTTGATATCTCCTCCAAACATACGTTTATTGAATGACCCCCTTAAACGATAATACACATCTCGATGAATATATCAAGGCACTAATTCATCTTTCATAAACATTTTTTTGTCTTTGTGCTTAATATATCCACATATCAACGAACATTTGTAAAACATGTATCCTAAAAAAAATAAACATTTTCAGGCTAGGTATTTGCCCACAGCAACAACTGCATAACTGTTTATTCACGCGTGGTGTGGTAGATCGTAATTGACCGAGAGCAGGTATTGTAGAATCACCTGTAAATAAGGCCGACACTGTAATTAGATACAACGTACTAATGAGAATTTTCATAAGGAGGCTGTTGTTTTTTCTGAACTGTTACCATTTTCATACCAAAAGTGACAATGCAGTTAAAAGTTGCTTTAGTGTCACAATATTCACTCACGTTTTCCTCAATCGCATTGAAACATAATTCCCACTGGTCAGTTCGAAACCGCATGTAATTAAATAATTATTTCGAGATTTCGTTAGAATGTAAGATATTCAGCCAAACGTTATGCAATAAAAGACGAATAGTTTTTTTCATTAAAATACGCGCACGCGTACCTGTATATTGCATACCTGGTGTCACGTAATTGCCCAGTGTGATGTATCAACGGGACATTAAATGGGAAATGAAATAGAAACTAACTAAAATTTAATGTTGTGGAAAATAACTCCAATGAATTGGAGTACACGCACATGAATTCGTATGATAAACTGTCAAAACGTTTTGAGAGGTAAGGCCGGGTTCATTAAAGATCGCTACAATATGTAAAACAGGTGAAATTTGTAGAACTAAAGGAAACATCCAACCAAATGCCCTTTTTAAATAGTAATGTAATGATATAATATAAAGTATATTTCACATGATACAATATACTTTGCAAACAGTTAGTTGATGCTTGAAAGGGACTGACGTAAACATGGACGAAATATTTTAATAACGCCGTAAAATAGTTGAATTAAGTAAAAATTAGTTAAATTTTTGTGTCATGATACTTGAATAAATACATTTAATGTATTTGCGAAAAAAACCATGAGTTTTGAGTAAAGGAACATATACTCGCCCATGGGCCAAACCCTTTTTCTCGCCCATGGGCGAAATATTTCAATATCGCTATAAAATCGTTGAATTAAGTTAAAATAAGTTAAATTTTGTGTCATGATACTTGAATGAATACATTAAATGTATTTGCGAAACAAAAACATGAGTTTTAAGTAAAGGAACATATTCTCGCCCATGGGCCTGCCCATGGGCCTACCCATGGGCCAAACCTTTTTCTCGCCCATGGGCGAAATATTTCAATATCGCTATAAAATCGTTGAATTAAGTTAAAATGAGTTTAATTTTGTGTCATGATACTTCAATGAATACATTTAATGTATTTGATTTGCGAAACAAAATCATGAGTTTTAAGTAAAGGAACATATTCTCGCCCATGGGCCAAACCTTTTTCTCGCCCATGGGCGAAATATTTCAATATCGCTATAAAATCGTTGAATTAAGTTAAAATGAATTACATTTTGTGTCATGATACTTGAATGAATACATTAAATGTATTTGCGAAACAAAAACATGAGTTTTAAGTAAAGGAACATATTCTCGCCCATGGGCCTGCCCATGGGCCTACCCATGGGCCAAACTTCGCCCATGGGCAGGCCCATGGGCGACATAGTCTAAATATTGAGTTTTTAAACAATTTTTTTTTCATTTTTTCTTCCTTGGTATGTTCCCATGAAAACGGCATGTTTAATTTTGTAAATACCTTTAACCGAGACTGGGCAAAGAGCGTAGAGTTTCTGGACTTTTGGGTTTCCAGAATTAAAATGGGACGTGTTCTGTATAATTCCGCACGTCCCGATGCATCTGAAATATATATAATATATAGGGAAATATATGTGAACCATTACGCAACAAGTTGACAATTGGTTTTGGCATGCCCGTTTGCGCTAAGACGGAACCCGGTCGCAAACAATGGCCATAAGAGGGGCACGAGTCGCTATTCGGCTTGTCCCGGAATAACACGAGTTGGTCACGAATGATGGTGGATGGCACGGTTGTGGAAAGTTAAGAATACACGCCTGTGGTTTCTGTCATTTCAGAGATATTACATCAATGACAAGTTCTACAAGCCTGGGGGCCCTGCGTTCCTGTACATAGGGCCTGAGTTGGCCCTGCCTGCTATATACGCTGAGGAAGGAGCCTGGCTGGAGTATGCCCAGACCTATCACGCCATCGGTTTTGCATTAGAGCATCGGTACTATGGACAAAGTCGACCTACAGCGTTCGTAATATTTTTGTTTCAGTTAAAAATTGACATCTTCCTTAATGTCATGCAGTGTAAACTATTTTAATTGCAACTATTTGTTTGTGATATATTCGCCTGCGTCTTATTCGGGGGCACGGGTGGCCAAATCGTCTTAGGCGCCGCGATTCGCTGTGCAGAGTTGCGTCCCTTGAGAACGCCAGAAACCTATGATTGTGGGTTCGAATCCCGGTTCGCCCCGATTATGTTTCTAGGTTTGCCAGCACCATACCCGTGCTCGTGGGTTTCATCGAAGTGGTAAACGTCTGAGACCTGCATCACGGGCTTTTTTCTCCCACATTGAGCTGTCGCGCCATGATATAACTGGAATACTGAAAGCGGCGAGGGAAGAACGGGACAGGTAGTGGGTGGGGTGTTGTTTTTGTTTTATCATTGCGCTGTGCAGTATCTCCGGTTTCGTTTTGTTGTCTTGAGTTTGTTTGTTTTTCAAACGTGTCTACTATTAATATTAAATATGAATATTATTAATGCTATCAACGTTGATGTACATATGGATTAGTTTCAATTTTGTTTGTTGGGCGACAATGGCTATTTTACTACGCACAAAAGCATATGGAAGTAATTTTGTCAATGTTTCAATATCAGGGACTTGAGCACTGCTAATCTACGCTACTTGAGCATCGATCAAGTTTTAGAGGATCTTGCCAGCTTCATCGTAGCAACTAACAAGGAACATAATTTCAAGGACATAAAGTGGATCACATTTGGGGCGTCGTATGGAGGTATTGTTGAATTATTACCGTGAATGGTGCTTATCCATATAAACCAAAAATGTACCACCGTCAAGATCCGGGCTAGAAAGTCGTCTTCAGCAACCCATGCTTGTCGTAAGCGGCGACTAATGGGATCAGATGATCTGGCTCCCTGACTTGGTTGATGCATGTCACCGTATCCCAATTGCGTGGATCAATGCTCATGATGTCAATCACTGGATTGTCTGGTCCAGACTCGATTATTTACAGACCGCCGTCATATAGCTGGAATATTGCTGAGTGCGGCGTTAAACAACAAACCAACCAACCACTAAACAGCTAGCAGTTCTTGTCACGATATGGCTGAAATAAGGCCGATGTGTTGTTAATTTTTAACCCACTCACTCACTCTAAAGATCCAATTCCTCATTGTGTTGAAGGTCTGGTGTCTACGTGGATGAGACTGAAGTTTCCCCACCTGGTGACGGGCGCTGTGGCACACAGTGCACCCCTTGCTATGCCGACGTTTTCTCCTGGTGAGTAAATCCAGATTTATCATAATTAATATCCTCACGGGGACACAAGCATTCTCAGTCCCAGTCTCAGTCCTTATATATAGATGAGCGAGTGGTCAGGCCCTGTGACAAGACTGATATCATGTCATCAAGAAACATCGTTGCACAGCTATTTACAAACAGGATTTGTATCTTTGAGATCTAGACTGAAACTTTCCTTACAGAAAACAATAACTGTGCTTCATATACAGATAAAAAAAAAATATTCCGAAATTATTTAATGTTTATTTTAAAACATATTCACGAGCTACTATGCTTGTCGTAAGAAGAGACTAACGGGATCGGATGGTCAGGCTCGCTGACTTGGTTGATGCATGTCATCGATCCCATTTGCGTGGATCGATGCTCATGATATAAATCATTGGCCTGCCTGGTCGAGACTCGATTATTTACAGACCGCTGTCATATAGATGGAAAATTGGTGAGTGCGGCGTAAAACTACAAACCAACCAACCAACTTATTCACGAAGACATTTCCTCAATGTTTAAGGTCGTGATTCCTAATTTGTCCATTGCACAAATTGGATATTTGTTGATTCAGCCCATACGACAAGTTATACGTTCAATTGTGCTTCCACGCTTCTGTTCGTCGCGCCAAGCTTGGTGTAGACAGATTTGGACAGTCCAGGTATCATCTGGAGTGCTCTATTGATCATGCGGGGCACGGGTGGCCCGGTCGTCTAAGGCGCAGCGATTCGCGATTCCTATGATAGTTGGTTCGAATCCCGGGTCGCCCCGATTAGGTCTTTAGGTTTGTCAGCACCATCCCCGTGTTTGTGGGTTTCACCGAAGTGGAAAACGTCTGAGACCTGCATCACTTCCTCCCTCATTAAGCTGACACGCCGCGATATAACTGGAAATACTGTTAAAAGCGGCGTTAAACCCAACTCACTATTGATCATACCAGGGTCTACATATGTCCAGTAGGACGTTTCAGTAACGCTTGCGTTATTCAAAGTCGTCAGTTTTTGGTGGAAGTGTTATGGTATGGGGTGGCATCACAACTCACAGGAAAACTCATAATTACTACTGGCAATTTGAATGACGCATGCTACTTTGAAGACGTCCTTCGAGATCTTTATCTGCCCTTTGTGCAAATGCTGTGACGTCACGTCACGTTGCAGCAGGGTAATAATACCCGACCACATATTTCACCTGCTGTACCAGATTTGAGGCATAACGTTGCAGTACTGCCGTGGCCGCCTGTTTCTCTAGATCTCTCACATCTGAGATGAGATGGAAGGACGTCTACGACAGGACCCGAACCAGCCGGTAAAGCTAGTTCAGTTGAGCGAATCTTTGGCTGACATTTGGAATAACATCCCCATGTTGTTTTCAATATTCTGCTGAACTCATTGCGCCGTCGTTGCCCTGCCCTTACCAATGCAAAGGGTGGTCACATCCGATATTGGAATTGCTAATTGAGTTGTTACCAGGTACGCTGTCCATGTTACCAGGCATGGGCGTTTTCAATGTATTTGTTATGATAAAGCATTCGTTATACGAAATATGAAATATGATATTGTTATTTTCAAGAACATAACATTTACAGAACTTTTTTTATGAATCACAGTTGGTTTCTTAATCCGTTGCTTCCTCACTATGTAATAATATATCCAAACGATACGCACGAAACATTCAGTCACTTACCGTTGTGTGTGTTGCGGGTGCTGCCAGTGGGGCGGGACATGCGCCGGGTGTCGTCGCTGATTTGCAATGGCCCTTTCGTGTGGTTTTTCACAACAGTTTACCTGTAACAAGACTTGTCACCCTGTCGCGCACAACATACAGAACTGTCAACCAGAACTGTGACACATTAAACCCTCATTATCACATGTGGAGGTAATCCCACATTTACATGTACACTAATGTCCAATCTTAAACGATATCAGGTATCCCGGATATATAATTAACAAATCTGTTCAGGTGGAACTTGGATCTTGATAAATAAAACAACATAATTTTTTTTACATTAATTTGGTTTTCTTTAATTCATTCCAGATTATTTGGTGGGAGCTGGCGAAAGCCTTCGCAAGGTGCCTGGGTGTTACGAGACTGTGTCTGCTGCTTTTGATGAAGTTCGGGAAAATCTCAAAACTGATACTGGTATGAAGAACCTGCAGTCTCTATTTAGGTGAGGATAAATCGTGCGATTCATTTTGCTGTGCTGATTGTCATTTTTAGAGACGAGGTTCGTCAGTTATCTACCTATTTGTCTTGTACACTTCTGCGTCCCCTGTCACGTTAAGGCATATGTACATTAAAGGATGAAGTACGACAAGCTCTATGGATGAAGAACTTCTTTATTACAATTTGTGCTACGTTTCGATGTAGATCCTAACACCTTTTTCAAGCAAGTCTCATCACTTGCTTGATAAAGGTGTTAGGATCTACACCGAAACGTCGCACAAATTGTAATAAAAAAGATGTTCATCCATAGAACTTGTCTTACTTCATCACACCAACTTCTAAATGCCACTTAAAAAAGTTATACATTAAAGGATGCCTGGACAACAAAATAACAAATATTAAGCAGCCAATTATGTTCTTTACTTACCCATTTTATGGAATTTGTGATGAGCTGGTGAACAAATGTTACGTATTGTGGCGAAAATAACTGTATCAAGCTATGTCCTTTCATCTTCATATTCCATGTGATATTTAAACTTCTTCATTTCTTTAAACCAGTGTTGTGTTTGTGACTCTAGTAATGCGTGGACAGTTTTGATAGCTATTTAAAGATAACATTAGCTGCAGTCATAATAGGAAATGTCGTTTAGGCTAAAAATTTAGCCATTTCTGCATTGATGATTGTGTAATGTTACAAAAGGAAGTTTTCCATGGCAAAGACATGCGTTTTAAAGATGAAAATTGAGATCAATGTACATGGGAACCTTGAATTACCTTGATTTAAAGAAGAGTCCCTGTGATATTAGCATTACTATATTGTAGTAGTTAGTACGTAATGTACTCAAATTGATGAACTTACGTTTTCTTCTTTGTTGGTTTAGGGTTTGTGATTTTGATCTGACGAACAATCTGGATGTTGAAAATCTGATGATGGATCTGGTGGCACCTTTCGTATCTACAATACAGTTTAATAATGTCCATGCGGGGTCACTGGTATGTTTGTTGAAACTATCCTACCAACAGAAATAAGGACACTTATGACATGAAGGCTTAATGACGATAAATGTCTGTACAATTATTTCGGGCATATAGATCGATAATCTGGTGTCCTACTTGTTGATTGATACCCCTTGGTATTGCCCACCATTCCGACAGGAGAACTACCCGAACCTGGGTCATGTTGGCGGTTGCTGGGTCTTTGGCGTACTCTCTCCACCCTAGAACATCCCACAGATGCTATTGGGGACATGTCAGGGGATGTAACGGTCCAGTCCAATGTTCATATGCCTTCTCTTCGGATATAATCAGTGGTGGAATGGGCACGATTAGGTCTGGCATTGTCATCTTGCAGATTAATTCAATATGCCGATAATTCTAGCGAATGAAACAACGACGGGACCAAAATGTCAACATGTCGCTGATCAGTCAAATGTCCACTCACATTTACCAAATCAGCTCGTCTGTTATGTGTGATATCGCCCCATACCATGCCCAATACCGATCACGGTCAAGAATTGTTGCTCTGGCATACAACACGCCGCTTCCTCACCAACAAGTTTTTCTGCCATCTGTGAATCGGAGTCAAAATCTTGATGCGTCTGTGTACATGGTCTTGCCTAGCCAACTTCTATCAATACTGCCTGTTAGAGTCACATCCTTCCCGTGAGGGCTTACTGTCAGGCGGGCTGCATAGAGCCGGTTTTTCATTTGGATTCTATAATATCATGTACTTAACAACTAAAAGGAACATGTTTGTGTGTGTGTGTGTGTGTGTGTGTGTGTGTGTGTGTGCGTGTGTGTGTGTGTGTGCGTGCGTGCTGTGTGTGGGGGGAGGGGCGCTGCTTTCCCTAGAATAATCACCATGGTCAGTACAACTTAAACACATGGTCATGGTCACGAATATAGCTGGCTGTGTCGAGTGAGTTGAGATGATATGGGCAAAGGTCGCGTTCAATATTATTATTACACTTGCATTGTCACGTGCATGTTCGCGCGTGTGTTAACGTGTATGTGTGTTGACCGCCTCTGTGGTCTAGAGGTAGAGCGTCCGCCCGGAGAGCGGAAGCTCCGGGGTTCGATCCCTGGCCGCGTCATACCAAAAGACGTAAAAAAAAAAGTACTTGTTGTTACCCTGTCTGGCGCTCGGCATTAAGGGGCCAAAAGAAGGACTGGTCGACACGTCAGTATACTGTGTCTGAGTGGGGTATTCATGTTAAACAGCGGCATGGTATATCAGTGAGCTAGCACTATATATCGGCATCAGTCCGGACTAGTACAAGCAGCGAAACAAACACCTGCTTGTACTACTTCGGACTAATACCGGTTTTATAGCGTTACAATGTCACGTTTCTGTGTGTGTAGGTGCTTGTACTACACTGCACTAAAGCCGGTTTTATAGCGTTACCATGTCGCGTTTCTCTGTGTGTGTAGCTACTTGTACTACACTGGACTTATGCCGGTTTTATAGCGTTACCATGTCGTGTTTCTCTGTGTGTAGCTAATTGTACTACACAGGACTAATGCCGGTATTATAGCGTTACCATGTCGTGTTTCTGTGTGTGTAGCTACTTGTACTTCACTGGACTAATGCCGGTTTTATAGCGTTACCATGTCGTGTTTCTCTGTGTGTAGCTAATTGTACTACACAGGACTAATGCCGGTATTATAGCGTTACCATGTCGTGTTTCTGTGTGTGTAGCTACTTGTACTTCACTGGACTAATGCCGGTTTTATAGCGTTATCATGTCGTGTTTCTGTGTGTGTAGCTACTGGTACTACACTGGACTAATGCCGGTATTATAGCGTTACCATGTCGTGTTTCTGTGTGTGTAGCTACTTGTACTTCACTGGACTAATGCCGGTTTTATAGCGTTACCAAGTCGTGTTTCTTTGTGTGTAGCTACTTGTACTTCACTGGACTAATGCCGGTTTTATAGCGTTACCATGTCGTGTTTCTGTGTGTGTAGCTACTTGTACTACACTGGACTAATGCCGGTTTTATAGCGTTACCATGTCGTGTTTCTGTGTGTAGCTACTTGTACTTCACAGGACTAATGCCGGTTTTATAGCGTTACCATGTCGTGCTTCTGTGTGTAGCTACTTGTACTACACAGGACTAATGCCGGTATTATAGCGTTACCATGTCGTGTTTCTGTGTGTGTAGCTACTTGTACTACACAGGACTAATGCCGGTTTTATAGCGTTACCATGTCGTGTTTCTGTGTGTGTAGCTACTTGTACTTCACTGGACTAATACCGGTTTTATAGCGTTACCATGTCGTGTTTCTGTGTGTAGCTACTTGTACTTCACTGGACTAATGCCGGTTTTATAGCGTTACCATGTCGTGTTTTTGTGTGTGTAGCTACTGGTACAACACAGGACTAATGCCGGTATTATAGCGTTACCATGTCGTGTTTCTGTGTGTGTCGCTACTGGTACTACACAGGACTAATGCCGGTATTATAGCGTTACCATGTCGTGTTTCTGTGTGTGTAGCTACTGGTACTACACTGGACTAATGCCGGTATTATAGCGTCACCATGTCGTGTTTCTGTGTGTGTAGCTACTGGTACAACACAGGACTAATGCCGGTATTATAGCGTTACCATGTCGTGTTTCTGTGTGTGTAGCTACTTGTACTTCACTGGACTAATGCCGGTTTTATAGCGTTACCATGTCGTGTTTCTGTGTGTGTAGCTACTTGTACTTCACTGGACTAATGCCGGTTTTATAGCGTTACCATGTCGTGTTTCTGTGTGTGTAGCTACTTGTACTTCACTGGACTAATGCCGGTTTTATAGCGTTACCATGTCGTGTTTCTGTGTGTGTAGCTACTTGTACTTCACTGGACTAATGCCGGTTTTATAGCGTTACCATGTCGTGTTTCTGTGTGTGTAGCTACTTGTACTTCACTGGACTAATGCCGGTTTTATAGCGTTACCATGTCGTGTTTCTGTGTGTGTAGCTACTTGTACTACACTGGACTAATGCCGGTTTTATAGCGTTACCATGTCGTGTTTCTCTGTGTGTAGCTACTTGTACTTCACTGGACTAATGCCGGTATTATAGCGTTACCATGTCGTGTTTTTGTGTGTGTAGCTACTTGTACTACACTGGACTAATGCCGGTTTTATAGCGTTATCATGTCGTGTTTCTGTGTGTAGCTAATTGTACTTCACTTGACTAATGCCGGTTTTATAGCGTTACCATGTCGTGTTTCAATGTGTGTAGCTACTGGTACTTCACAGGGCTAATGCCGGTTTTATAGCGTTACCATGTCGTGCTTCTGTGTGTAGCTACTTGTACTAGACTGGACTAATGCCGGTTTTATAGCGTTACCAAGTCGTGTTTCTGTGTGTTTAGCTACTTGTACTACACAGGGCTAATGCCGGTTTTATAGCGTTACCATGTCGTGTTTCTGTGTGTAACTACTTGTACTAGACTGGACTAATGCCGGTTTTATAGCGTTACCATGTCGTGTTTCTGTGTGTGTAGCTACAGGTACTACACAGGGCTAATGCCGGTTTTATAGCGTTACCATGTCGTGCTTCTGTGTGTAACTACTTGTACTAGACTGGACTAATGCCGGTTTTATAGCGTTACCATGTCGTGTTTCTGTGTGTGTAGCTACTTGTACTACACAGGGCTAATGCCGCTTTTATAGCGTTAGCATGTCGTGTTTCTGTGTGTGTAGCTACTTGTACTTCACTGGACTTATGCCGGTTTTATAGCGTTACCATGTCGTGTTTCTGTGTGTGTAGCTGCTTGTACTACACTGGACTAATGCCGGTTTTATAGCGTTACCAAGTCGTGTTTCTGTGTGTGTAGGTACTGGTACTTCACTGGACTAATGCCGGTTTTATAGCGTTACCATGTCGTGTTTCTGTGTGTGTAGCTACTTGTACTACACAGGACTAATGCCGGTTTTATAGCGTTACCAAGTCGTGTTTCTGTGTGTGTAGCTGCTTGTACTACACTGGACTAATATAATGCCGGTTTTATAGCGTTACCATGTCGTGTTTCTGTGTGTGTAGCTGCTTGTACTACACTGGACTAATGCCGGTTTATAGCGTTACCAAGTCGTGTTTCTATGTGTGTAGCTGCTTGTACTACACTGGACTAATGCCGGTTTTATAGCGTTACCATGTCGTGTTTCTCTGTGTGTAGCTGCTTGTACTACACTGGACTTATGCGGGTTTTATAGCGTTACCATGTCGTGTTTCTGTGTGTGTAACTGCTTGTACTACACTGGACTAATGCCGGTTTTATAGCGTTACCATGTCGTGTTTCTGTGTGTGTAGCTACTTGTACTACACTGGACTAATGCCGGTTTAATAGCGTTACCATGTCGTGTTTCTCTGTGTGTAGCTACTTGTACTTCACTGGACTAATGCCGGTATTATAGCGTTACCATGTCGTGTTTTTGTGTGTGTAGCTACTGGTACTACACTGGACTAATGCCGGTTTTATAGCGTTATCATGTCGTGTTTCTGTGTGTAGCTAATTGTACTTCACTTGACTAATGCCGGTTTTATAGCGTTACCATGTCGTGTTTCAATGTGTGTAGCTACTGGTACTTCACAGGGCTAATGCCGGTTTTATAGCGTTACCATGTCGTGCTTCTGTGTGTAACTACTTGTACTACACTGGACTAATGCCGGTTTTATAGCGTTACCAAGTCGTGTTTCTGTGTGTGTAGCTGCTTGTACTACACTGGACTAATATAATGCCGGTTTTATAGCGTTACCATGTCGTGTTTCTGTGTGTGTAGCTGCTTGTACTACACTGGACTAATGCCGGTTTATAGCGTTACCAAGTCGTGTTTCTATGTGTGTAGCTGCTTGTACTACACTGGACTAATGCCGGTTTTATAGCGTTACCATGTCGTGTTTCTCTGTGTGTAGCTGCTTGTACTACACTTGACTTATGCGGGTTTTATAGCGTTACCATGTCGTGTTTCTGTGTGTGTAACTGCTTGTACTACACTGGACTAATGCCGGTTTTATAGCGTTACCATGTCGTGTTTCTGTGTGTAGCTGCTTGTACTTCACTGGACTAATGCCGGTTTTATAGCGTTACCATGTCGTGTTTCTGTGTGTGTAGCTACTTGTACTACACTGGACTAATGCCGGTTTTATAGCGTTACCATGTCGTGTTTCTCTGTGTGTAGCTACTTGTACTTCACTGGACTAATGCCGGTATTATAGCGTTACCATGTCGTGTTTTTGTGTGTGTAGCTACTGGTACTACACTGGACTAATGCCGGTTTTATAGCGTTATCATGTCGTGTTTCTGTGTGTAGCTAATTGTACTTCACTTGACTAATGCCAGTTTTATAGCGTTACCATGTCGTGTTTCAATGTGTGTAGCTACTGGTACTTCACAGGGCTAATGCCGGTTTTATAGCGTTACCATGTCGTGCTTCTGTGTGTAGCTGCTTGTACTAGACTGGACTAATGCCGGTTTTATAGCGTTACCATGTCGTGTTTCTGTGTGTTTAGCTACTTGTACTACACAGGGGTAATGCCGGTTTTATAGCGTTACCATGTCGTGTTTCTGTGTGTAACTACTTGTACTAGACTGGACTAATGCCGGTTTTATAGCGTTACCATGTCGTGTTTCTGTGTGTGTAGCTACAGGTACTACACTTGACTAATGCCGGTTTTATAGCGTTACCATGTCGTGCTTCTGTGTGTAGCTACTTGTACTAGACTGGACTAATGCCGGTTTTATAGCGTTACCATGTCGTGTTTCTGTGTGTGTAGCTACTTGTACTACACAGGGCTAATGCCGCTTTTATAGCGTTAGCATGTCGTGTTTCTGTGTGTGTAGCTACTTGTACTTCACTGGACTTATGCCGGTTTTATAGCGTTACCATGTCGTGTTTCTGTGTGTGTAGCTGCTTGTACTACACTGGACTAATGCCGGTTTTATAGCGTTACCAAGTCGTGTTTCTGTGTGTGTAGCTACTGGTACTTCACTGGACTAATGCCGGTTTTATAGCGTTACCATGTCGTGTTTCTGTGTGTGTAGCTACTTGTACTACACAGGACTAATGCCGGTTTATAGCGTTACCAAGTCGTGTTTCTGTGTGTGTAGCTGCTTGTACTACACTGGACTAATATAATGCCGGTTTTATAGCGTTACCATGTCGTGTTTCTGTGTGTGTAGCTGCTTGTACTACACTGGACTAATGCCGGTTTATAGCGTTACCATGTCGTGTTTCTGTGTGTGTAGCTGCTTGTACTACACTGGACTAATGCCGGTTTTATAGCGTTACCATGTCGTGTTTCTCTGTGTGTAGCTGCTTGTACTCATCTCAAAACGAATTAACATATTTTTTAAAATATATTTGTCTTGGAGCTTTATGGGTAAGATTTTGCTGAAGCGACTCACTCGCTAAACAAGTGTTCCGAATATCGAAAAGTTGTGTTGTGTTGTGTTATGTGTCAGTCACGTGAACATGTGAAGACAGTGGATGCATATCGGACCCATCCCATTGACCGAGAATGCTTATTGAAACATTTCAGAATTGTAAGGCAATGACACCAAACGTTGTTACTCGTCTATACATGTATGATCTGAGTAATCTGCAATTTTAAATATATATTACCTAATTTTGGCTTTTTTTTTGTGGCACAACACCCCACAGCTCCTGTAGAGCAATAAATATTAAACTAATTCCTCTGTAGAAGTTTCATTTAAGAATTAGTTGTTGTTTAAGAATTAGTTCATTAAAGACGAGCTCCACTTTAACCTGTGTGTCCCGTTGCATCACATATATCCAAAAATTGCCTGCACACAAAGTCAGCGATCTAACCCACTCAGCCACTGACGCAACTGGTAGTTCAGATCACGTACTTTATGTGCCCCTTTGTGTGCTGGCACGCTTGTGGCCATCATCTGAATATCAAGGCAATTTTTCAATATTGTATAGTGAAATACTACTTTCATATATTAACCATTATAATTCCATTTGTCTGTACCTTTTCTAAGGGACCAGTGAAGATTCCGGGGTAGAATAGGTCTTAAACAAACCAATGCTTGCCGTAAAAGGTGACTATGCTTGTCGTAAAAGGCGACTAACGGGATCGGATGGTCAGACTCGCTGACTTGGTTGATGCATGTCATCAATCCCAATTGCGTGGATTGATGTTCATGATATTAATCACTGGATTGTCTGGTCCATACTCGATTATTTACAGACCGCCGTCATATAGCTGGAATATTGCTGAGTGCGGCGTTAATCAACAAACCACCCACCACCTTTTCCGCCATATTTAAAAACAATGCATAACCTCTCTAGGTATCCAACATATTTAAAAACAATGCATGACCTCTCTAGGCTAACGTCTGAGCCCCATTTGTTGCAATAACACCTTACCATATTAAGTGTCCTTAGTAGGCCGACTATGCTTGTCTAAGAGGCGACTAACTGGATCGGGCGGTCAGGCTCGCTGACTTGGTTGCCGACATTTCAACTATCGGGTAACACATCTGTTCAATTTAGCATTGAATAATATGTCCGGTTATGGATAACATGACAAGCTGCACGGAATCTGTGTTTCCAGTTTCCGAGGTCAAGTCAGACCTTGCTTCTGTGAAATCCCGACAAGAAGAAACTGATGAGAAGTTTGACGAGCTCCTTGAGCAGATGCAAAGTATTAAATCCGGTACCAAGGGAGAGGAAGGTACACACGTAATCAGCGTCGAGGCTTCCAAATTCTCGCAACGAAGACAAGACCAGAATAGCATATTATATTTCTCAAAAACGAAGCTAAAGTCCGCGACATTATGTTGTTGTGGTTATATTGTACACATTTGTGAGCTCCATGGCACCTACACCCAAAAAAGAGTACCATGATCGAAGGAATAGTTATGTTCAGTGTGAACCTTATCTCTTTAACGACATTTCCGAATCGCGGTGGTAAAGAATTGGAGCTAAATCGTTTCATAAACCTGGCATCTTATTGGCTCCTGAACCCACACATCATTCACTTAGATGTGGCGGTTGACGTTCGCTGAGGGTTCACCTGAAGTTTCTTGGGTGTCAAATCATTCACTGGACCAAATAAGTGTCCAAAATATATATTCGATTTGTTTTCAATACACGTAAATAACGTTGGAACCCGTTTACATCGACCTGGAAAACCGTGATAACGAACATACAGAAAAACTATCTGATTGCGATTCAGTGATTAAAACAGGCTGGCTCATTTGTCATCCCGACAGTGATTGGTAGTGTTGCATCAGTTCATTTTAATATTTATAGTAGGCGGAATGTTCGATTTCAGTGACCAATGTCAAATATCAAGGTTTAGATTATTATGTTTATGCCCTTAATTTAGAATGCAATACCAGCCATTCAAGACGTTGATATATCTATTCACATCACATTGCGTTTTTGTCTGTATGCATAACGTGGCCGAGCCACGTGTATTCGAATTCGAAGTCGGAGCAGATGAATTACTTGTGGTTGACGCCACTTTGAACAGTAAAATATGTCAGCAATATGAAAACATTGCCATTATTATACTAGGAATGCTTAAATATTTCGTTTTTTGTAATATCCACGAGCAATGGTATAGTACTGACAATCAAAGGATGATGATCAGGTCAAATCCTGGAATTTATGACAATAGGTTCCTTAAATGCCATATCTCTTCATAAGTCAATCGACCCGTGAAGATCCGGGATAGAAAAGGTCATCGGCAACCCATGCTTGCCATAAAAGGCGACTATGCTTGTCGTAAGAGGCGACTAAGGGGATCGGATGGTTAGGCTCGCTGACTTGGTTGATACATGTCATCGTATCCCGATTGAGTGGATCAATGCTCATGATATCAATCACTGGATTGTCTGATTATTTCCTTGATTATTTACAGACCGGCGTCATAGAGCTGTAATATTGCTGACAGCGGCGTTAAAGAACAAACAAACAAACAAATCAAGTTAATCCGGCATCTTAGACGAATTAGCCACCCTGTCCCTATTACATTTTTTTACATTTTGTTTTGCTTTTACAGGAATCATTTCTCAGAACTTAATGTTTCCTTGCCATTTACAATTCTCTGGTCCCCTCATGTATCATTCAGTGAGATGCACAGAAAAATGGATAAATGTTAATCCTGAATTTGTTTAATGTTTTGAACCACAAAGATTAAACTAACGTTGATTCAGTGTTTGTGTCACTTTTACACTTTTTGGCTGTTCAATGCAGATCATATTAACAGTTGTTTTTATATCATTGCTATGTGAGGTAAAGTGGAGGCGGTACAAAAAACAGTCGACAAGCTCATGGAGAAAATACATCACATGGAAGGAAATGGTGGAGGAAAAGCAGGTACGGATGTTGATCACGCAATCTTATAACTGAACTACAGATCACAAAATACCTATTCAGTCGTCCTTTTTTTGTCGACCATATTATGCCAATGTTTCTTACTTCGCCTATTTTTGTAACTGTGAAATGTGTTTAGGAGTGTAATCCGTCCACTTTCGAACTCGACCCGTGAAGATCCGGGGTAGAATATGTCTTCAGCAACCCATGGTTGCCGTAAAAGGCGACTATGCTTGTCGTAAAAGGCGACTAACGGGATCGGGTGGTCAGGCTCGCTGACTTGGTTGATGCATGTCATCGATCCCAATTGCGTGGATCGATGCTAATGATATCAATCACTGGATTGTCTTGTCCAGGCTCGATTATTTACAGACCGCCGTCATATAGCTGGAATATTGCTGAGTGCGGCGTTAAACAACAAACCAACAACCAACAACTTTCGAACTCAATGTCCCCAAAACGTTGATATTGCTACAATGAAATTACATCACACTGTTTTGAGACTGTTGTGACGTAAGCTACCATTTTGTCACAATTAAATGACATCACTGATCTCTCTGCACCTGAAGTTGTTTAGCTGCACACTGGTTGTTTTAGTTTACAAATTAAAAAGTTTGAAGAATGATTTGTGGATGATCTGACATGTTTCTTTTGATATGAAATTTATCAACACCAATCGATTACAATTTTTTATCAACTCGTGTTGATATATTTCATGTCAAAAGAAAGATGAGATTTTTCATATCTCCATAAGTTCTGCAAAAAGAATAAATGACATTTATTTTTAAAAATAACAATATGCATGTGTTTTTTTCTTCTAAATGCTGTTTACATTCTTCTCTGTTCTTTATGTGTAGAAACATGTCCCATCTTTCATTCTGGAATATGTCAACTGTATATGCATTAAAGTTTATATCTACAAATGTTTGGGCCCTATGTCAAAAAAAATGTTCAGTTGTCAACGACTCAATGCTATGGCGTATTGTTTTGACAGGCTTAATTCTAAAATACGTAATAACTTTACTGAACATAGCAGGGCAGAACCATCATTATGTTTCACATTAAAACGTGGTGCACAAAACTCATAGCATATATTCCCCTTCAGTCTCAGAGATGAAGTCAGAGCTGACGTCCTTTGGGTTGCAACAGAAAGAAACCGAGACAAAACTTCAAGACATCTCCTCTAAGGTTGACAGAGCCATGAAGGCTCTGAAAATAGGTAAAATTTCGTTTGCTGAAGCTGATTGCTCTGCACGAAAACATTTCTTGTATCTTTGAGTGTGTGTTTGGGGTTGTGTGTAAGTGCGGGGTGTGTGGGTGGGGAGGGGGTGTAGATATCAGGGGAGGCAGTTACCTTGTGAATTTAGGTTGGTTGGTTGGTTCCAGCTATATGACGGCGGTCTGTATATAATCGAGTCTGAACCAGACAGTCCAGTAATTAATATCATGAGCACGATCCACACAATTGGGATCGATGACATGCTTCAACCAAGTCAGCGAGCCTGACCACCCAATCCCGTTAGTCGCCTCTTACGACAAGCAAAGTCGCCTTTTACAGCAAGCATTGGTTGCTGAAGACATATTCTATCCCGGATCTTCACGGGTCTGCGATTATAGGCGCACCGCAGACCATTAGGTTGGATTCCATACTCGGCTTGATTGTGTTCCCGGTTTATCGGCAACGTATGGCTGATCATGGGTTTCACCACTGATGTAATTGTCGCAGGCATATACCATGCATCACGTACAACCCAAGTCAAACTGATACCCAATGTAACACTGAATAATGTCGACAGCAACGTGAAGCAAAACCCACTCGTTCAAACTAAAACAACTTGCATGTTAGCTTTGTTTTTGTAAGATGTCATGCCTCAGCATTGGCATTTTCGAAAACTCCATTCTAATTATTTATTCATGATTATTTTGTCAGCAAGACGTTAGCAATCTGGCTTTGAGGAAACCAGCATACGGAAGCAGAGACTTGGACCAGTATTCCAATCCTAACCATGTGGTTGATGGTGACAAGCACGGCATACGCATAAGAGATCAATGTTTTACCTCCGCTCGAGACCTTGGTGGATGGTTGACTTGCAGGATATCTATGATATCTATAACGTCACCCTTTACAGACGGACGGACGGTTACGGTATGTTCTTGAAATAAACATCTATTTATCAACGTTACATGCAGAATAAATCAAGTGGTTTAAATCTGATTTTCAATATTTCCACCAGAACTGCTATTATTCGAAAGCCTATTAATTATCAATTAGTAGTCGCCTGCAACACACGTTTCGTTTCTTTTCGTGCAATAATCAACTTTGATCTTGTTTTCAGTGAGTGAGTGAGTGAGTATGGTTTCACGTCACCTTTAGCAATATTCAAGCAATATCACGGCGGGGGACACCAGAAATGGCCTTCACACATTGTACCCATGTCGGGAATCGAACCCGGGTCTTCGGCGTGACGAGTGAACGCGTTAACCACAAGGGTACCCGACCGCCCCTGATCTTGTTTTGACCTTTATGTATTAGTTCCTGATATTGATAATGATATAACATTGTGTTTTTATATCAGCTTCCAGATTCCGTGACCTGGAAATCCTAGTTTCTAAAGAAAACCCCATGGAGAACAAAAGTTCTCAGCCGATGACATGTGCACAAAAGAAAGGACAATTATCAAGACCTGATGTTCTGACCTGCAAACCTTCGACAACGGGTCGATTTGTGTTGTTGCAGTACATACCACCAAACAAAGAAATTCTCACAGTCTGCGAAGTTGAGGTTCGTGGAAAACTCTCCAAAGGTAGGAATTGTAAACAACCCGTCACTTATATTGTTCTTTGTACAAACATTTGAATCATGTAAATGAGGCCACACGCAAAGCTGTCCTGCAAATGTATATTGATGTGATATCAGAAATACATATCATCCAAACTTGTTTCCTTTCAGGGTTAACTACATAGCTGTGGCGACATTCAAGAAAGTGTCACAAAATCTGATGTAATAAAAAGTCTATTGAGGTCCTGTGTCCTGTTATTCCATTATTCAAGGAAACGAATGATTAGGTTGTGTGACCAGTGGATGTTATTGTTTCATCAGCCGTATCAAGTAAGAAATTAGCAAGAACTGTTAATAGTCAACATATTTTCTATTCAATTTCTCTGAACGCAGTTCTTGGTGACCTTACTGAAAGTGCCTTTGTCTCATTTTCCGTCGTCCATCGTCCTCAAACATTTTCAACTCAAACTTTACCTTGTAATTGAAACTAAAATTTAACATCTTGTTCCCACATGAATGTCCATGTGCCTCGCAACATTCATGTTCTGTTCTTTGGTGATATTTAGAATAGTGACATTTGATATAAATTCTATTTAGTTTATCTTGTGAACACATTTTTAAGAAACATATTTAATCAACCGCAATGAGGTGAGGTGAGGTGAAAAGGGGTTTAACGTCGCGTCCAAGATTATTGCACTTATATAGCGACGTGCATGTAAGTGTGTGTGTTTGTGTGGCTGCTTGTACTAGTCCGGACTGATGCCGATTTATAGTGCTAGCTCACTGAGATACCATGCCGCAGTTTAACATGAATACCCAACTCAGACACAGTATACTGACTCCGAGCCGTCCTTGTTTTAGCCTCTTAATGCCGAGCGCCAGACAGGTACCATCTTTGAACGTCTTAAACGTGGTATGACGCGGTCGGGGATCGAACCCCGGACCTTCCGCTCTCCGGGCGGACGCTCTACCACTAGACCACGGATGCGGTCTCAACCGCAATGAAATGGCATGTGATACATAATAGGAAATGGCACATTTTCTTTTCTTCTAGGCATCACGATGGCGCGTACAACTTCATTGCCGTGGACAATAACTAAGGACATATGTAACTAAGGACATGTAACTGAGGACATAGAAGTTTTAGTTTTAGAAAAGCACCTAACTATGGAAGGTCAACACATTAGTAAGGAGTATTAGGCTCATATATAGTTGAAACCTTGTGTGAATTGAGCAGTGTGTTTGAGTGTTTTACAATATGACATATTACATTAATTTAATACATTACTGCATTTGGTTGAAATGGTATTGCTTGGTCCATAACAGTTTATTTTTTCTCCGTATGTATGCTGCCAATACTAAGACATTCTATCTGACCAAAAACTATTATTCCAGAAAATGCTTGAGAAAAAACAGTTATGCCTCAGACTGCTGAAATATAAAGAACTTGTCTGTAAAAATGATGACATTGCTGCAAGGTGTTCTTAAAACTATTTATATTTAGACTCGAAGTTTTGATTACAAAATCTCAGGCCGTTTCCATTGCCCAATATCAAATTGTCAGCCCCTGAGGAGAAGTGGATGTTTTTATAGACATTTTTAACTGTTGACTTCATTTCGAGATGTGCTACAGTGACGTAACAAATTCTGCTTCTGTATATCTTGAGATATTTAAAATATCAATGCAATTGAGTGCAAAGGAAGACAAACCTAATGTTTAAACGTATTATTTCTGTTACTTGTTTCTTAACTGTAAGTTGGGTATCAAATTGGTTAAAGAATTCGCTCCTCCCGCCGAAGGCCCGGGCGTGACAGTCTTGATATTGATGGAATATTGCAAAAGGAGGTGTAAAACCATACCCACTCACACACTCACTCGTGGCTCTTATCTTGTGTTGGTGGACACCAAATTGCTCAATCGCTCTGAAAACACAAGTTTTTAATGCAGTAGGCATGGGCTTAACAGATAAATTTACATGAGCAAGCATCAGTTCAAATATATTCATGATTCCTTTTCACTCTTTCGTTTAATGGTAGTTTTAGATTGTAACATTTAATGGTTGTCAAGGAGTGAGTGAGTGGGTGAGTATGGTTTTACGCCGCTGTCAGCAATATTCCAGCAATATCACGGCCCGGAACACCAGAAATGGGCTTCACACGTTTTAGTTTTTAACATTTAATGGTTGTCAAGGAATGTCTGGAGGTAGCTGCATACTTAGATTTCTTCTTCTTCTTCTTCTTCTTCTTCTTCTTCTTCTTCTTTCTCTTCCTCTCTCATTCTCTCCATTCTTATCCAATGTTCTTAATTCACTCAATCCAATATCCCCACTGTTACGGTAAACTGCAATTATATGTATATATGTACAAATTACTTAGAATAGATTTTATCTTTTGAAACACGCAACTGACCAAATAACCGAGCATGTTGTCACAATCCTAAAACTACAGCCCGACACACCTCATACACCAAAGCCGTGATACGGTGGAGTCACACGAGTAGTAAATTAAACCAAAACGGCATCCCCCCCAAATCGGTGTTTGAAATGGGGTTTAACCTTGCGCCAAGGTTATTGCACATTTACACAGTATACTGACTCCGTGCTGACCAGGCCTTTTTTGAGCCCAATAATTCCGAGCGCCAGGCGAGTAACAACAAGTACCATCTTTCAACGTCAATTGGTATGACGCGGCTGGGTATCGAACCCCGGACGTTCTGCTATCTGGGCGGACGCTCTACCTCTACACAACAGTAAGTGAGTGGGTTAAATTTAACGTCGCATTGGCATTATTTCAGCCATAAAGTGACGGCGAGACCAAGTTGATACATACAGTTCGTTCATGAATACAACGTTATATTTAACAACAACAAAATTGGCACAGACAGTATAACATTTGAGACCGTGTTTTCGGTTTATGACGTCCTTTCGTGTTGCCGTTTAATAGAGATGTCCCAAAATGTCTCCTCGAGACAATGCAGTATGGGACTACATCACATGTTACCCGTAGGTTTAAGATACATGTTTTGATTGATTGTTTGGTGTTTAACGCCGCATTCAGCAATATTCCAGCTATTTGACGGGGGTCTGTATATAGTCGTGTCTCGACCAGACAATCCAGTTACTAACATCATGAGCATCGATCCACTCATTTGGGATACGATGACATGCATCAACAAAGTCAACGAGCCTGACCACCCGATCCGTTAGTCGCCCTTTACGACAAGCATAGTCGCCTTTTACGGCAAGCATGGGTTGCTGAAGACCTATTCTATCCCGGATCTTCAAGGCACCAACGTGCGCAATTGGGATACAATGACATGCATCAACCAAGTCAGCAAGCCTGATCACCCGATCCGTTAGTCGCCTCTTACGACAAGGATAGTTGCCCTTTACGGCAAGCTTGGGTTGCTGAAGACCTATTCTTTCCCGGATCTTCACGGCACCCACGTGCGCAATTGTGATACAATAACATGCATCAACCAAGTCAGCAAGCCTGACCACCCGATCCGTTAGTCGCCTCTTACGACAAGCAAAGTTTCCCTTTACGGCAAGCATGGGTTGCTGAAGACCGATTTACTCCGGAATTTCACGGGTCTTTAGTCTACATTTGCATATGTGTCCCCTTGCTGTCTAAAAAACGATATGGACGAAATGAATGGATACCCGTCATATCGTGTATAATTATTTTATTGTTCACTGAGGCATGGTTCAATATTCACAGAGGTATGGAATTATGAAGTACAAGGAGCCACACACACACACGTGCATGCACGTCGCAAGTGCAATAAACTTGAACGCGACGTTAAACCAAGTTTCACCTCACCTCTATATGACAGTATCCCCTTTATGTAAAATATAATGTGACACAATACGTTATTTTCAGCAACACTCATGACTTGCCACGGACCTTTCGTCCACATGTGACACCACCTCATCATGAACAAGACAAGCATATTCGGTTGGTTCATCTGCGGAAGCAATACAAAACTACCACATTAACAGCACAGGCAATTGCTGGCTTCAGGCGATTTAGACGAAGAACTGTAGGCAACATCTGAAGAGAGCACAACACCCAGTGATATGCCCAGTTTTGCTCTCCACATAACCGTCAGGTACGTCTAGTTTGTTCCAGCAAGGGCCTATCGCTGTCCAGGAGATCGTTTCAGCGAAGCTTGCGTCAATTTTGAGGTGGACGTGTAATATTTGTTTGTTGTTTGACGCCACACTTAGCAATAATCCAACTATAAATAATCGAGTCTGGACCATTGTTCCCAGTGATTGAGAACGTGGCCATCGATCTACTAAATTGGGATACATACATATAAGGCACAACTTCAAGAACATATATACTCTTAAAAAGAGAAACGCAATACGGATATTGTTGGCCATAAAAGCCAAATTAGCTGACCAAGAGGTGCGAAATGAAGCAGTTTAATGTGTTATAGTATCAGTGGCAAATTTCCCGGATCAAATTGATCGTTAGTCGGGAAACACGTACGATTCGGAAAAACGCACCCAGTGCATCAACAAAAGGGCCATGGAGCTACACGTACTGCACGTGCATCGGCATTATGAAAGGGATTAAAGTGCAGGGTTTGTGATTGCCTGGCTTCTGCGTCAATCGAACAGTGGCGGTTCAAACAACATCCCGAGATTAACAGAAGTGCAAAGAAACCACATCATAGGCTGCTTGCAGGCAGGGGAATTACGCGTTATTGATGGTAGCTGGCCTTCACCTTGGACTTTTCCTATGCACCGATTACAGAGATGACTACAATCACCAAGTGTTCTCTCCACAACATTTTGGCTCAATACCTTGTACGGTTCCTCGTACAAATGTGTTGTCCTACCTCACACACATCTGGCTTTGCGTTTCTTTTTTTGAAGAGTATATATTCAGATATTTTTAATTTGTAACCTCAAGAGTTCAAGTAAAACAAAAAATGTAACTTTCAATAGGTAGTCTGATGTACGACACATCTTCGAATTGGACTGTCTGTACTTCCCCAGTTGAAGTGTGAT